AGTTTTAGGCATGAAGGGTAGATATTAGCATTTTCAATCTTGTTGAAGTTGTTGAAGTCTATTACATCATCAATATATCGAAAGATGTGTTGGTAAAATTTATGATCATACTTATTGAGTGAACATATAAAAGTCAATTCTTTTTTAAAAAGGAATAATTCACAGACAGAAATTGAAAAATTACCTCCCATAGGAATTCCCTGTATTTGTTTAAATATGTTGTTGTTGAACTGAATATAATTATTGAAAAGTACGCATGAAAGAAAAAGTTGCCATTTTTCTGCATTTAATATTGCAGAAATTTGGAGAAATAATTCAGGAAGAGCAAGTAAACTTTTATAAATTTCTTCAAGTGGCAAAGTAGTATAGAAGTTTTCAAAGTCGTAGCGTTGGATATGTTCTATTTTAAGTGTATTTAAGGTTATTATAACATGTTCGTTACTTGAAATCATCCAGTTGCAATGTAGATCTTTAAAATCATAATTATTAATGAGGTTACGTATGAGATGAAGTTTTTGTGCAAAGAGATAATTTATTTACTTAAGATAACTTTTTGTACTATTGGCAATCAACCTAAATTTGACCGGAGTCTTATGAAATTTTGGTAGAGCATATAGATTTGCAAATCTCTTATTATATTTGCGAGGAAGGATATTAGTCTTTTATGAAGTGCACTAAATTTATTGAGAAGAATTTTAGTGCTGGTAGTAATCTTTTGATAGGTGCAAGCGCTATTCAATTCTTTATTCAGAAGGTCGAAATAAAACGTTTTTCAAATAACACTAAAATTGTTGCTAGCTTTGTCAATCTTTGTGATGATAAAGTTATGTTGCTGTTTCTGAATAAGAGTTTCAAGATGCCTCTTATTGTGTAAATAATTGAAATTGGGTAACTTGAAAAGCATAAGCTGAAATTCTTTAATTAGTGCAGCTTTCCATTCTAGAAAAGTAGTAGTAGGTAAATTGGTACTATTACTAGCTAAAATAATAAATTTATCAAGATCATTATTGAATTGTTTAAGGTAAAAGTGCTGATTAATACTGAAAGTTGGACGAAACTTGGTGCCAAGTTGCATAATTTCTCGTAAATGCTCAACTTATATATCCAGCTTAAAAGTCTTTACCTGGCCTTTATTTTTCCAATCGTTTCTCGTGAGCGCGGGCTATGTTTATTGCAAACTTACATTAAACCACAGTGGCAAGATATTCTATTAAGTCCCTAAGAATTAAAATCAGAAATGGAATCTTGAAGTATCGAACCGTGGATTTTATTGAGAAGTTTTATTTTTTACAATTTATTCTAAAACTCAATCTCTAAAAACTAAATTCAAGTTGAGGTAATTCAATATGTCTAATTTTCCTCACGAGTGCTGACAGTAGTATGTGCTGTGAATAGAGGCTTTCTAGATACAGATTGATTAAGATGCATCTAAGACCTAAAAAAAAGTATTTTATATTTAATAAATATTGTACTGTCTGGAGAAAGACAAATGAGTCAAGAAATTAATTTCTAAAACTTCATCGACGATTTTGTTAGCATAAAAACAAATAAAATAGCATTTTAAAATGTTGAAATTAAAGTTTTATTTCGAAAGTTGTCGAATGGATCACCCCTGGAGGCAAATTACTAGCTCTAGGTTCTAAATCGTTTGAGTGCACTAAGCTCCTCTGAGCACCTTTAAGCTATCAATCGGATTTAGAATAGAGCTGGAATAAACCTTATTTATTACCATCAAAAGGCAAGAAAATGTCATCTACGTAGCGAATCTAGAGATGAAAAGATAGTTTCTCAAACAACGCCAAATACAAGGTTGTTACTGTGCCATATTATTATATTTCGTATTAAATTTTACTTGGTTTGAAATCACTTGATCTGCTGTGGATATTTGTAAAACTTTATGTAGATATGCAACCAACTTTTATTAATCTAATAATTGTATTTAATTTTGTTTTACATCAATAAACGTAATATTGACCACACAATAATCTGTACATTAATTATTAGCCCTAAAAGGCTGTTAGTCTGAAAACACGCTTTGTGTTGATTGCCTTAAAATGTCGCTCACTGTAAGTGCGTTGTGTTATTTTTTATTTAAGTTTGTAATGATTCAACAACATGCAAAATACTTATTTTCCAAATTTAATTGCGTCTGTTATGGATTAACAAAGTAAGTCAGTTGTCTCAAATGGGCGGCCCGAGAAGACATTTCAATTATGTGTTTGTAGTAAATACGAGAATGAAAAGATTACAAGATTTTAGCCTTTAGAAGTTCGAATTTATATTACTTTCATTTTCATTAAAAACAACGCAAATAACGTGAACAGAAAAATCTATGAATGCATTTAATTAATTTACAATGTGCTATAAATCTTATTCAACGTTTTCAGGATAAAGACTTCACTAACTTGTAGAAACATTAGGTTATTTCGACGCAGGAGACATGAAAAATGAGCAATGCTCTCGCCGGGACTCGAACCTTGGACCTCTAGAATACGCGCCGAGTGTGCTGACCATTACACCACGAAAGCATGCTAAGAAGGTGGGAGAAATACCTTATAAACGTTTCGTACATGTCGAAAAGTAAATAAGCTCAGTTTCGAATACATTTATTTGCGACCATTTTTATCCCTCAGTTGAAAACTCATAAGAAAAGGACTCAACTAAACTATGAGTGTCTACAATCCGTGATAATTTTCAGTAATTTCTCTCCAGGGTTACACACTTTAACAGAATCTACCAAGTTATAGTATGAAATAAAAAGAGTTTATAATTAATTGCAAGCTAGCATATGCATTTAAATTTATTCTCCGAAGAAAAATCTAACAACGCTTGAGAATAAATAATGACAACCTAATTTCTTTCTCATAATTGAAAGAAATTAGGTTGTCATTATTTATTCTCAAGCATTATTCCACTTGGAAAAGTATCACTGAAAACGTTGAAATTTTTCATAATTTGTTTATTTTTAGTTTAAATTAAACTAAATTATTTAATGCTTAATTAAACACGTTAGATTTATTTGAAAGAATTTTCAGACTAAGAATTTAATATTTCGCTGTCAATGTATTTCAATTACAAAGTGTAACTAACAAAAGTCTCTTGCAAGTACCAACTTTTGATTTCAGATAAAAAATAAATAGAAGTTTGAGTTTTTTCCCTTTATAGTATTATTATAGTTATTATTATAATTGCTGTTTTTATATTTCAATAAATGTTTAATAAGCAAAATTTAAAATTTATTTGTTAATAAAATTTTTGTTTTTTTAAAAAAAACTTTCCAGTCAGATTTTTTTCAGAACGCGTATGCGACTCGTATGCAATTTGAGTTTGAGACCACTGAACTAAGGTATTTAAAGCCAGTAGATGAAGTTCTTAAAATGTTCCCTTTACTATTTAGTCTGATATATTTCAATAAAAATGCATTTCAGTGGTGATATGTCTAATTAAAATCATTCAAAATTTTTATTATTATTATTTTATTTATTTATAAAAATTATTTTTTATGGAAGGGTACGCTATATTTTTTCACTTCTCAAATAGACCAGAAGCTATAGAATGTTCCCTATATTAATCTAAGTATATCTTAGTAACCTATAATGTGTTTCGATCCACCTGAGCTATCTCTACTGATAATCTGCACTGGTAAACCATATTAAACTTTAAAAACAGCCCTTCTGAGAGACTGTTAAAAATTTGAACTCTTTTAGACCTTTTATTTTAGTTTTATTTTCATCTTGTTTAAAAGTATTTTGATAAATAAAAGCTTTTCTTTTCTACTTTCAATTATTTTTCAGTTAATTGGTACAAAAGAAATTTACAGATTGAAATTAGTTAAGTAACATACAATTTAGAATGTTTAATTAAGCACGCAGTATCACATTATAAATAGTTCAGTTACCTGAACTAAAAATTATAGAAAGCATTTGTTAATTTGAAGTTCTTTCGAAATTACGTAGCCCGGTTTTCTCGCTGAAATCCCGGTTTTCTGGCAGCAATGAGTAAAGCATTAAAAATAACAAAAATTTATTAGAGATAACAGGCACAGAATTGTCTTGAAATATAATTCATATATCAATTGGTCTGAGGTTTCAATGCATGATAATTATCAGTATGAAAATAATTTAATTTGAGTTAGAAATAAATCTTCAATTCCTGCTTCTAAACTTAAAGGGTTCAAAACGTTATATCTTATTTTAATATACAGGGTGTCTCATAAATATTGGTTCAGACTTTAGGGGCAAGTATGGCACGACAAAAAGATTGAGAAATGCATAGCAACATGTGACCGAAAACGTTGTCATACGCCCCTAGGTGGTGCTGTTCAGACTAAACATAATTTACAATGTTTAGTCTGGACATTATGTCCAGTGTGTCAGGACATTATGTACAATGTTTAGTCTGGACATTATGTCCAGTGACCTAGTCGTGTCTTATCTATTGCCATCACCTATATGTTGGGAGATATTTGAGTGGGCCGTTTGGTTAACGATGGATTGCGAGCGGTGGACCGGTTGCCTGGCCCCCATGCTCTCCGAATTCGAGCAACCTAGAAGTCTTTCTTTAGGAAGCACGTAGACCTGTTGTGGCAAATTTGGATGTTTGTGACCGTGTCCGCCAATCTATGGTCCGTCGGTGTAATGCTTATAATGATGGAAACTTTGAACATCTTTTGTAACATTTCGAAATGGTATCATCTACTACAGCATATATAATATTCATGGGCAATAAATACTTCTGGCTATAGCATAAGTAATATTTATAGACAATAATACTTCTGTCTTCATTTTTTGTACCTCTAATACCACTTTCCAAGAACGTTTCCAGTCATAGGTTGCTATGCATTTCTCAATCCTTTTGGGCTGCCCTACCTGCCCTAAAATTTATGCTAATATTTATGAGGCACCCTGTATACAAAACATCATAACATTGTCTATGACATTTTAAATAATTACAATAAAAGGAATCAAACATTTGAAATTAATGTTTTTAGTTTCACTTACTGTACATTTGTGGGGTTTGTCTCCGGAATGAACTCTCATGTGAACCAACAATTTGTAACGTGCATTAAAAGGCTGAAGTTTTCTTGAACAAAATTTCCAAAAGCATACAAAGTCATCGCCTTTCTTTTGGTCGATATGAGCTTTTTCAATGTGCGTAACGAATTCGTCCTGATCTTGAAAAACTGCTGTACAGTCTAGCCACCTACAAGCATACATTCGTTTGCTTTCAGTGTCAGTGCTGCTGCTACCTGCAACTGTCTTATCCCCTTCAGAACTTTCGAAGCTGGATGAATTGGATGGCTGACTACTTTCTGAAGAACTGTTCTTCTGAAGGGTTGCTTTTCTGGCCATATGCTGGTCATATGTTGGAGGTGGTTTGTTGTGCTGTGGAACTCGATGAAGAACTTGCGTAATGGGTGATTGATATTGAGGTTGCAGATGTGTATGTACTGGGGGCAGTACTGCTGGAATGAATGGTAGGTAATCTTCTGTTCTAAAAGCTGCAAGGTCTTGTGGTAGAACCTGAAGATTTCCGCATTCAGGAATCATTGGCGAAGTTTGCATGATATTTGTATTGAATGCTGAAGCAGTATTCCCCTGAATGTTTGAGTTACTTTCAAGATCCTGCATTGCTTGCATCACAAGTAAATTGTCATCAATGTCCAGAAAATCATTTCTACCGTTGTTATTGATACCACAAGAATTAGATACATTACTATTGTCACTAGTGAGATTACTTGGATTACTGCGGCTGTTACTCGCTCCTGGAGTAGCAGTCTGAGGTGTATATGACGTGCTTCTTCTGTTACCAGAAGAACCAGATCCGGAATGAGGACTAGAGCTACTTCTAGCTGAAAGATGACCATAACAACCAGTTCTTTCCCCTGATGAACCGGGCGATACACAAGAAGATGAACTCCTGGAGCCATTAATATAAGCAATAAGGGAGGTGGGTGACATTCGAATAATGGAATTTAAGTCAATACCTTCAGCAGATAAAGGGGAATTAGATAATGCCCTTTTATTTCGTGAACCTCTTCCAGAATATGATGATCGTCCAGAATATCGAGGGCTAGAAGCTAATGCTGATGGAATATTTTCAGAGAAATTTACTGAAAATGGGGAAAAAGAACTATAATACATCCCCATTTGCGAGTAATTTTGTGCGTTAGAAGGAACAGAGTTATAGCTCAACAGAGATATATTATCTCCATCACCATTACCTCCACCTAAAGGCGTAGCACTAGATATTACTGGTGGTAACACAGAAAAGCGTCCCCATGCTGCCTCTGTCTTAGCCTGGTACTGAAAAGTAGCAGAATTAGCAGCAGAGACTGTTGTGCTGACGGTCGTCGCAGTAGTTGTGGTAGTGAAGGAAGTTGGAATATTATTTTCTCGAAAAATTGATTCTACCATAGAACTATCCGCGGCAGGCATAAACATTGATAATTCATTTAATACAGTTGACATGTCGGCAATATTTGAATTTTGGTCCCTGTTAACCATAGCAGACTCTTGCGATTCTACAGTAACAGACTGCATCATATTTGATGTTCTAGTTGTAGCAACCGGTAATGTGCAAGGATTACAAGAAGTCTCTGGTTTAAGCGTATGACTGAGTTGTAACTCATTTCCAGAGTGTATCTGATGTCCCTGAAACTGACTCATCATGCTGCTATCAAGAATAGTGCATCCCGATGATGTAACATCCATTGCAGTATGTTGTCTCATGTTAGGATGTGGAGCAGTCATTTGCTTTGCATTTCGAGAGTTCTGTGAAATGTGATTTTGGTTTACAGTTCTTTGTGCTGAATGTGGTTTATTTTGAAATTTGGGGTAATTATTTTCCTGAATTATGCCTTGAGGCATATGAAATAAATTCCCAGACCCTGCACTGCTTTGTATAAGTTGGTGGTTTGGAGCAGGAGCATTATATGATTGACTAGAATTGAAGCTATTTTGATTTGAAAGTTGAAGATTCTCTGAGAGTAGATCAATTTCTGGTTTTTCAGGTAGAGAAGTATTTTCGGCTGTAAAGGAAAATCAAATCAAATGAATATTTTTTAAAAGATAATAAGGAAACAATGCAAGTCACTAAAATAAGAAGTTTTCAAATTTTATAACAATTTTCATAAATAAAAAATAACATTATGATTATAAAACTTTCATCTTTCTATAATATCATTTTATAGTTTCCTCTGAGATTTCTAAATCTGAACAGAAGGACACTAATTTTTCATAATTAATCTTATTATTAAACAAAAGCATCCGAAGACGTTGTTTGATCCGAATGAAGCTCTAAAAGCAAATATTCAAATACCGAGTTGCAAATGATCAAGAAATGTCGAACATCCAAACTGGACCGTCAGACGCGCATAAAACTATAATGAACTTAGAAAAAAACAAACCTTGAATATGAGGATATTTTTTAGATTAGATTTTAATGACCTCCTATAGAGTAGGATGGCTCGATAGGGGATTTAACCAAAGAAGAATAAAGGAGATTAAAAGAAATTAGATTACATGAGCTTTGGTCGCATGACAATAGGTCAAGCAGTCCCATGGCAAAGTTTCTGCATTGCATACTCGTTATGTCTGTAAGTTACGCATGACAACAGACCAGTGGTCTTCAAACTGTGTTCCACGAAACCCTGGGATTACACGAATCAAACCCCAGGATTAATGAAGTCAAAATAAAAACTCAAAAAGCAAATGATAAAGCACTGACACTAGTTAACAACTATTTATTAACTAAAAAGTATGAAGTTTTAGAGTTAAATTAGCTGTAGATTAGTTTTGAAACTTAACACGTGGTCATCATACGTCAAAGAGAATGCCATGTAATGCGTTTCGAAACTAGACAGTTTTCTAATCGAAAACGGGCTAAATTTCAATGATAACATTATAAATTATATGATGGAGCGCCTTTTTCAGTTGATGAAAACGACAAAAGAATATTTCCCAGAAAGAAAAACTAAGTGTGACTAGATCAAAAATACTTTCATGTACTACGATGAATCAGATAGTTTGCTAGTGAAGGGAAGGAAACAACTTACCGACATATCAATAGATGCGGGGTTTAAAATTTAAATTAAGCGAGAGCAGCTCCTAAATTTTTGGTTATAAATTCCGCAGAATACCTAGAAGTTTCGCACTCACTTGCAAGATCTGCTATGAAGTACCATTACTTTAGCCTGTAAAAAATTGTACTCAGCTCAAGCTGCGTCCAATATACGGAGAAAATTCTAAAAGAAAAAAATTCGTTTTCTATCTAAAAACCTGTATGCTTTCAGATAACTACCAATTCACTTCAAACATTTCATTGCATTTCCTTCAGCAAATGGTTAGGCACGAAACTCTTTCTACCGACGTGTTTCTTTAAAAGCAAGTATGCAGATATAAACAACCAGTCTCTCAAATTATAACGGAAATATCCCGAAATCGAAAACGTTTATTCTGGAAGAATTTTGTAACGTTTTAGATTTTAAATTAATTTTTTTCAAATAATTTGCTTGAGCAAAATTATTTTGTAAGGTATATCCTAAGTTTATAACAGTTATTTTTAGTTTTATTCATCTTTCCTATCTCTTCTAGCTTACAATTCCTTACCAGAATGAGTTTTTAGAATGCAAATGAGTAGTAGAGCAATAATGCGAATGCGCGTTAAATCCAAATGAGTAGTGCCCACCAGCGGCCGAGCGGTAAAGTCGCTGAACACTGGTAGTTCGGTCCGAGGTTCGAATCCCGCGAACGGGCTGGCTGCATGGGCGTTTTCGTGGTTTTCCCCATGTGTAACGTGTATACGAGCCAGTTCCCTTAGAAAGTCCTCCACGAAGGCATCCCTCCCCTTAGGCAGATAGCCCTCGAGGCTTTGCCATAATCACACACACACACACCAAATGAGTAGTAGAGAGTATTTTAAGTGGAAGTTCCACTGACTTCGACAGAGAAAAATTAGACTTCCCTAATAGCACGTGTTTGCCTTTTGGCTACGTCTTTCTAAGCTGTTACTACGCTCGGCAGTATTACGTGCCTTTGACAGCTTCGCTAGCTAATTTAATATTAGGGGCCAACTAGTTTAGAAACTGTGTTAGCTTCGGCAAATATCTTTAGATAGTCATTAGTTAGTTCTTATTTCTTACATTTTAAGCCCAAGTGTAAGTCCTGAGAAAGGAGCCATCTATCAATCTTCATTTTGAGCAATAAAGGGTAATTAACTCTTCTTGAGTTTACATTTCTATTTCTTAACTTAAACGATTGTTCGCTTAGCGGTTCACTAGATTCCTCAACACTTAGTTAATAGATAAAAGTGAGCATCCCTATAGTTTTTTTCAAATTTTTGAGTATTTGCTGTTGTACAACATACCCTATTTGCTTGTGTATTCCCTCCACTAACTTCGTTTCAGCGCAAGGTTCTGAAAATTTGTATGTATTCACGAAATTGTCCCTTTATTCGTGGCATTCAGAAAGTCAGCTTCCCTACATTTTTAAAATGAATTCTACGTAGTGGTAGTTTTTGTTCTAATTGATCTGCTCGCTGTTTTTAAGTGCAAGAATTCTGACAAAAACAAGAAAAAAAAAAAAAAACAATAATAGTGTAGAGCTTCAAGAAAGTGGGTTTTATGTTTATTAAATAAAACCCACTTTCTTGAAGCATGTTTTTGATGCTTCTAAAGAGTTACCTGCAGAAACGGATTTAACGGTGTTGATGACAACGGTGTCAATGGCGACGACTTGCAAGCTGTACTTATAAAAGATTACGAACTGGCTGGTTGCATGGGTGTTTTCGTGGCTTCCCTCCCCCCCCATGTGTAACGTGTATATGAGTCAGTTTCCATTAAAAGTCCTCCACGAAGAGATCCTTTTCCTCAGTCATATTGACGTCGAGTGCTTTGCCATAATCAAACAAAACCGCGCTACAAAAGATTCGTTCATTTTCAAAATACTATATATTGAAAAGCGTCACAGTCACAAATATGAGTGATATATCAAAATAACCGCAAACTCATTAACTTTTCTGCAGTACAAATGTTTTATGTGTGCCCTTGGGTCACACGACACATGTCCATGCGGTAGTCGAACTCGTTTCACAAATTTTGTTTTGTCATACTGTCAGCGTTCTCACTGAAACATTGATCTGTTCTCTGAGATCTTTCAAACGAATTCTTTTTGATAATGGGAGTACATTAATGTGACTCCGAAAAAAAAAATGTCACAAAGCGTTAAATCAGTATGGTTAATTATATTAACAGTTAAATTTTAAGTTAAAGTTCCTTTCCTGTCAAATTCTTAACTTCAACTTACTACTTCCGGCCAGAACGTAGTTTTAAAATCACGTCTGAATACATAATGAGGAAGAGCGGTATTTAACCGCGAAGTTCTTTGGTCTTAGCGAGAAGGAATCAGAGTTTCTGATTTATGCGCGTCTGCCTTTTGGCCACTCTCTCTCTCTCAAAGCTGTTATTACGCTCGGCCGTACTCAGGCCCTTGTTAAGCTTCGTAGTCAAATAGAGTTAAGGGGCCAACTAGTCCAGAATCTTGATAGCTTCTGCTATATTTCTATAGTTAATCTTAGTTTTAGTTTAATTTTTAGTCTCTTAAGTTCAAGCCCAAGTGTCGGCTTTGATTGCACACTCCAAGATGGAGTTTTGTTAAATCATATTGGAATAATAAAGGGTTAGTTACTCTTCCATCTTGTTGTTTCTTGTCTAGTTCTTAAGATTCGTCACTTTCTACAGTAACTGAGATTTACAATAGTGAAAATCTTACAAAGTAACTTGGAGGATCAAGGGAAAACAGGGTGATCATCGCTCATCAACATGCCCAGGAAGAGGAAGTTCATCGTTCAGGTATCGACGACCAATGAATGTTCCAATAAGGTGATGCCAATCCTCTTGAAGATAAAATCCTTGGAATCGGCAGCCAATTGCGGAAACGAACATAATTGCAAAACGTGATGTCTTTGCGGTTATTTTCATATATCACTCATATTTACACGTATAATGCTTTTGAATAAATAGCGTTTCGAAAATAAACATATATAATTTATATTAGGTCTATATAGAGACAGCACTTCCAGCAGCGCCAACAGTGCCTTAGCAGTGGGTAACGTAGGCTTCGAAATATCCTGTCCCAAGACTTCAGTAACCCTATCGCTGCCTGTAAGAGTCACGCATGCCTATACCAACAAAACTACCTCATTACGAGCATCGCCGACATAGGACAGAGTACCCACTATCGAGTACGGCTTTGCGAATGAATGTTTAGCTGTATCATCAAGATGTGTTTAATTGCTGCCTTTTAAATAAATAATATTATCATAGTTATCGATAGTTTATTCATGACTACTTTTATTTCTTTAAAAATAAAATTATTCGCATAATTTTCCTCTCTCAGTTTCGCATGAGGAAATTACCAAAAAACGGGGAGCCGAGGAAATAAGACAGCAACTGCGGTAACTGTTCATTGTTTCAGGAAGAATAATTTTGAGCAAAAAAAGCATTAGATACTTATTATATATTGGGTACAGGTTTATTTGAATTATAAAAGTATCACTTACATTTAACCGATTGTGGCATGAAGTAGCTAACCATCATATTTTCATAATCCAACCTCGGGTCTATGAATGGAGAACATGGTGCTTTGTTGGTATCAGCCACTGGAGGAAGAGTACTTGGACCTGGAATTTCGGGAGTATTTCTCGGAGGCATGATGAGGGCTTCGGATGTTGAAGATGTTTTTGAGGAGAGAATAGGTGGAAATTTTAGATTAGGTGATGTAGCTGAACTCCTGATTTCTTTTGCTTCTGAAACAGAAGGTGTCGTTGCATAAGATGACTCCTGGAAAGGAAAGAAGGAATTCAAATTCTTACAGTGATACAAGTGATCTTAAGTTTACAGTGATACACAATTCTTTCTCAACTTTTTAGTGTTAATAACAAGCTTAAGTAATCTAGACCAGTGTTCTCAAATTTAAATTGAATGCGGACGAAATACTTGATCTGAAAACAGTTGATGAGCCAGATAATTTTTTTAACAAAATTTAAAATTATTTTTAACCAAGCATAATGAATGAGTAACAAATCCTGATGTTGACACCACGTGACTTTGTTGTGCGACCTATTAAATTGTACACAATTTTTCTTGCATTTCGTTTAAATTTATTACCTAAAATTATTACAACTTAATTAACCTATTTCTCAAAGCAAGTTGAAAATGATATCGAAAATTGCAGATTTTGAAATTAAACATCCCGCTCAATTTTTGTCGCACGGGAGTCAAATTTCTTGTATTTTTATTTTCTCAATGCAAGTATAAGACTTTATCGAATATAAGTGTAAGAACCGGAAGACTAGTCCAGAAGTCAATCGAGTTATTAAAAGACAGATTTCGTTATTTGTGCAAAATTATTTTTTTTAATATTTCAGATTGCCAAAATATGAATACTTTCTTCATTAAAACACTTCTGTAATTGGAAGTGTTATGTCTACGACCAACGATTAATAAAATAAACGCTGGGTAAGGGGTTGGTGTATATAACTAACCAATCATATATTAGTTGTACTTGTACATCAAACTTGGTATAAATACCCCTGGCAGTTAATAACGTTATTCTTTTCCTAGCTTCCGCTACTGCTAAAATATCCCCTCTGCTCTGCTACTCCGTCTAAAATGCCTGCGTCATAAATTTAAAAACCAGTGTACATAACAATCTATCATATTTCATTATGATTGAATTCATTATGTCTCGTATTTCATTATGATTGGATAAACATCCACGAAGATGATTTTATATGCGTGGAAAAAGACAGGAAATTCGTCAAGTTCATGTTTTGTTATCTTCATCTGCAAACCTTTCGCCCTCAGCCACGATGACTGCAAACTCTTCTATGCTTCCGAAAATATTACATACATATACTTTTGATACTGCCGATTTCAATAAAAAAGGGAGGTGCACCTAGCAATCCCATATACATAATTTCAAAGTTCTACTGCTAATCGTTTTTGAGTTATGCGAGACACATACGTATGTATAAACATCATGAAAAATCCATTTTGCAGCCCGTTTTGGAATAAAGAATCCTTTATTCTGTTCGCACGTACAGACGTCACGAGACGTCAGTGATTTTTATTAAGAGAACACTTCTCATGGCTAGTAACACTTTGAGAAATTATGAGAAAATTTCGCAACAGTATGCTAATGTTTCTTGAATGCAATCTAATTTAATATTGTTCCGGAGATTGTATTATAGAACAATCTGCAAAAACTTAAAAAGACCGCCTTTCCACGTTCTTGTTTCGATTGTCCTAGTAATAACGGAAATAAAACTCTTGAAATAGTTCTCTCTTAATGTGGAATTCTTCCTTATGAATATCACCGTGATCATAATCTAGCAGATATTCGTAATTTTCATTCGAACGTTTGGATAGAGTAAAAAGATATAAAAAGGCTATGCAGCTGCTGAAGTCTTGTGGTGACTTCTGTGAACACATTATACCGAATAAAAGCTATTTTTTTATTCAATTCTTAATCTCATTATTCTTTACGTGCCTCGACGATTAACACGAGAAACACGGCTCCCAAAAATGTGCCACCCGGAGCGGACCGTCCCTCTCTAGGTACCCTACTGTATTTCCTGTTGGCAGCCCAATGAGTTGAAGATACTCAGCAGAAAGCAATCGAGTTGGAATGGAAGAAACAACTGGTATATCGTCTGACAGAACTCCATTTAATTCAGAGGCAGTTTATAAAGAATAAAGAGCGGAAATCTCACCTGAAAGGATGAATGAGCTCTTTCTTCAGCGAATGATGAAACGGGCCTGTGGGAGGGTGTGGTGAGGGTTCTGGGATCTACCGGAGCGATAGGCGGGAAAGAGATGATCTGATGCAATGGAATGCTGTTCGAAGTGTTCATGTACAAGGGCGACAGATGCCCTGGCTCGGTGGGGAAAATTCGACTGTCTTCCCCTCTTTTTCTTGGCTCTGATTGCTCACTGCAAATCAGACGCCCCATCATTCTGAAAAAGAAATTACAATGTATAAATTGTCTTTAATTGATAAATTTTTGTTTACCGAGAAAGGAATTTACGGGGTGTGTTTCAATATTTAGAACGAGATCTATGCAAATGAATTTTAAAAAATACATCTATCCGAAAACAAATATGAGCCCATTGCATATTCTTCCTGTTAGCTAGTTTGTCACCATTGTGGATTTAATTATAATCTCTTCATTATTTAATTAATTTCGCAGTATAACAAGTGATTTTAATCATTAATAATGTCAATTTTGAAATTCTCAGCTCTTTTTAATATCTGCATATGTGTATGTGCATACATATTTGCGACAGTTAATATTAATACGATCTCATAGATTTCTTCTGACTTTTATAACATATTTAATATACATACAGGGAATGAAATGTCGGTGAATTGTTTCAAACATTTGTGACATGACAGCGTAAAAAATAGCTGCAATAATTTTACATTTATGAGACATTCTAATTTTGAAGTTGCAACCCTGCTGAATATGTCTTTGAGCTGCACACCTTCTCTACGTAAAAAGGTTTTAAATACCCCTTTTTTACGTACTTAAACGCATGTTTTTTGCTTATAATTATGTCAAAAAGCCAAGCTATTGAAATGTTTACTGGATGCTTCAGCAGTTCTGGATCCGGCTGCCGAGGCAAAAGCGTCAGTGAGAATATAGAGTGGTAATGCCCTTGAGAATAAGACAGCCTTCTTTGGAGTGTGTCCAAGAAGGAGAATCATTCTAAATTTGTATCGGGGTAAGCCAGTGTTCTTTTAATTTTCTCCTATAAGTTTCTTGCATATGTCATGAATGGTGCTCGCGGAATATATATCCTTAAACTTCCAGCTGTTGAGCTTTCATAATGATCCGAAAATGACATAAAATAAACATACTTTATAGTACATAAATTTAATATTTAAACAAGATATAAATCAATGCGTATGAAAATCAGTCGCCCGTATAAAAACTAGTGATACAGGAGGCAAGAACTGAATTTTTTGTGTCGAACAAGAATAGAATTTAATTATGTTTCAAATATGCATGAACTGAACTACTTCGATTATTTTTCATTGTAAGATTTTATTGATTTATCGTCTACCATTTTTTATGTCAGACAAGTAATATAATGAATTGTATTTTCAAATATCGATGGATTGAGCTAATTTGAAGATTCCATCGATTAATCCTCTGTCATTTTTCATGTCGAAGAAGTATATAATATAGTTGCATTTTATAAGATTCTATCGAAAATCGTTTGTCATTTTTATGCCGCAAAAGAATAAATTGCATTTTCAGATATCGATGGATTCAGCTACTTTGAAGATTCTATCAATTTATTGTCTACAATTTTTCATGTCGAACAAAAGTACAGTATAATTGTATTCTGAAATGTGGATGAATTGAGCTACTTCGATTGCTATTATGAGGTTCTATCGATTTACCATCTGTCAGTACTTTTTCATTACAAAACTTCTCTAGTCTGGAAATCGTTATTTTTGGGTACAAAATATAAAGACTCCTCATTTTCACTCACATGTGTTTCCAACAAAAAGGGTTATTACTTTAATTAACCAGTTATTATGCTTTAGACTAAGGGTTGGCAACCTTGTAGCTGTGATGTGCCAAACCAATCTACCAGTATGATTCAAGATGCCTCAGATTATACGGAATAGAGGCCGTGAATATGGATTTAACGTTTTATTATATATTAATTATGTATCATTTAAAGATATTTCTCAATATAAAAATGAATATCATAAAATATAACTGTTCCTTCAACATAAATAAAAAATTTAAATTGTACACGTATTATGTATCTTTTAAACATATTTATTAAAATAAAAAATAAGCGATATAAAATATAAGTATGCCTTAAATGTAATTAAATAAAAAATTAAAGTTTTAATGCAAACCTTGTCCCTGTACCACTCAGCTTAATATCGTAATATCAGGGGTATAATGTTTTACTTTCGATTTGACAGAGGATTCTGAATATTTAGTTGTTAAATAATTTCTTTCTAGACTCAAAATATTTTTCATACGAGAAAAGATTTGTTCATATACATATGTGGAATCAAAAGCGGAAAGCAGAGCACATGGATAATTAAATCGTTTCAGCACTGACACCCAGCAGTAAAATAGCTGTCGATTTATCTTTAGAGTTAATCTTCCAGATTTTTCGTAACTCCATAAATTTTGCTTTTCCATAATTTTGAAGATGTTAGCTTAATATCTTCCATTTCAAAATTATCAACCCCCATCAACTAAAAAACTGATAAATCGGATGGTATTATGAAAAGGATCCATTTAATCTGGTTTCATTAGGAACGAAAATATGAGCACACAAGCTTCCAAATCTTTGCATCGTTTGGAAAATTCCGCCTAAGTGTTTCAACGTAGGTTCGAGGTTCATCTTTGTCTAAGATTGTAATATTTGCAAGCGCTTTATATTTGAGAACTATATATATGTACTAGTATTAATATTAAGGAAAAATACTATATTTAATTTTGTTACAAAGCCTTTCCAGTATTCAAAACGTTCAAGCATTCTTTGGCCCTTTCGTTGCAATCCTTAGTTCATTGAGATGTTTAGTTACATCAATCAGAAACATCATTTTGCATAACCATTCTTTCACTCATTTACTACGAGCATTGTTGGTTCTTCTCATTAAGGAAAAGTTTAATGTGCTCCATGCATGACACAAACATATTCAAGACATTACTTTACCTAAGCCAATAAACATGGCTTTTAAGGGGAGATCCACATATTCGCTTTACATGTCTAAAGAGATTTAAATTGTCTGTGTACCAGTGAAGACACTCTGAAATTTACTACTTTAACAATATTCATTCGAGAAATTAAGAGCTGTGACAAAATTTTGGCAACTTAACTTTCCTGATAGTGCACAGAGAAGAGACATATTGATTTATCTTTGCCTGGTAACTTTCTAGAGTGGTGTAGAGTGCCGCTGAGAATTATACAGGGTGCCATAGGTTGCCTACGCCTGATTTAGACCTTTACTATAACTTCTCCCTTCCGTTTTCCACCAGAATACAAATCAGTTAGAGAGTGTTCAAGCTGAGGTTTTTGGATTTAACAGATAGAGCTTGTTTCTGCCTTTCGAGGCCATGTTACTAGGTTTCTGCCAGCTCTGATAAGATCGTAATTATTCCGCTTTGCGTTATAGCTGCCATCATTTAAATCGCATGCCTGTGAGTTCTTAGTCAGCTTAGAATTTAAAGTTTATTGTCTAGTTTTTGAGTTAATTGCATTGGTTTAGTTTAAATTTTGAAATTTACTGTTACTTTAAGTTGCATCGCCACAAGTGATAGCTGATACTTTGAGCACGAGACGAGACATGCTTTTATGGTCAAGTTCCGATTTAAATAAAAAGGTTTGTTTTAAACATTTTATATTATATGTATTTTATTCAGACATGGCAATAATTCGCTTAACTTGTATTAGGAATTTATGCTAGTTTATACTACAAAAGAAAGTCAAACTCTACTCTCTAATCTTATTATTCTAATTTTACTCTCTTTAAATTAGAGATTCTAAAATTAATTAGAATTAGAATCTCTAATTCTTAGAGAATAAAATTAGAATCTATAATTCTAATTTTACTCTCTTTTTATAATTTTTAAACTCTTGAGTGAATGTCTGATGACTGAAGATGGAAAAACAGATAATATAATTTAACAGTGGAGTAAATTTAATATAAATGTATTCCTAAGAAATCTGATATGGACACAACATAACTTTTTTGTACGGCCTACTAAATTACACACATTTTGTGCTACGCTTCGTTTAAACGTATTTCTTCGAATTATTCTAACTTTATTAACCTATTCTTCAAGGCAAGTTGAAAATGATATTCAAAATTGCAAATTTTTAAACTGAATATCCCGGCTCATTTTTGCCGTAAGGGAGTCCACTTCTTGCATTTTAATTTTTTGATAATAAGTATAAAACTTTAGAATTGTTTTTTATGATAAAAATGTAATAAATAACTATTATTGTAAAAATTATTATTAGTAATAATGCTTAGTAATTATTGTAAGTTACTGCACAATTTTCTTCACTATATTTTCATTACAGTGAATCTGAATACAATAATTCTTGTAACTGATAATGATAACTTTACTATAATGAATAATTATTATAATTGTACTGTAATTAGTAATTATTTATGTATATTTTTTATCTTTGAATTAAAATGTATGTGCACCACTGAAAAAAGAAGAAATTTCTAAATAATTAGTTTCTAAATAATTTTAAGATAATAAATGGCTGTTATAGTTATTTGATTAATTATAATAATTATAATAAATAGCTATTTAATTCATTTTTTGGAGAGAAAAAGATTTTTTAAGGAAAAAAGAACAAAAAAACATTCTTGTATAAAAGATCACAATATTTGCAAATGTTACGTTAAATCAACTGCGATCAGGCAAAATCCCGCTCAAATGGAGTGGAAATCTGTTTATTTATTTATTGTTTTTTTTTTTTTTTTTTTTTTTTTTTTTGAACTGCTAAAAAATGAAATTCCATAATTTTTAATGATCTTATTTTTAAAGTAAACAATGATATATGTACTATTCACGTAATTATTAATATTTCGAAACATTTAAATTGTAATAATATATGAAATATTACGAAACAAAAAATATATAATATTAAACGTATATGAATGCTGCATGTAATACTATAAAACAAATCTATATATAATATTACGAATACGTAATATTATGAAAAAAATGTTTTTCAACAGTTTGGTTTTTAAGGTTGCAAATCAGGCGAATCTTCACGTTTATTTCTCCGAATATGAGATAAAGGCGCAAAAGACAACTGACAACGGAATCTCTCAATCATCCGGAGACTTTCCATCTTTACGGTGAACTCTCTTGGGATCCTCCTCAAACTGTTGCACGTAATTCACATCCCTTTAGGACGATTATGAAATTTTACTGTTAATTTTGGAAAATTTA